GAGTGTTCCACCATCATTGCTAGACTCTTTCGCTCTTGTGCAAGCTCCCCTTCCAACCTTTCAATGGGAGCTCTTAATTTTTGGAGGCCTGGTGTAAGAAGTCTCTGCCTTAGGCATTTCTCCGTCACAAATAGCCTCTTTTGCAACCATGAAGCAGGAACCTCGAGCCTCTGAACATTGTCCAATACGAGTGTGGCCTCATTTACGAGGTCCTCATTGGTCGAGCCCTGTTCAATGTCAACAAAAATCTCCAAAATCTTACCAAGGCACAAGTACATTGATTATCGTACAAGAGCATGCCAAGAGGACAAAAATTGTGATACCCCCGGATTTCTAAATGTGGGTTGGCCAGGCCCACGCACGAATACCTGAAGATATCAAAAACAAATCGGCAATAATCGAACACAGATACAAGAGGATAAATAAGAATCAATAAAAATGCTGAAAGAAAACTAAAAGAATAATCCAATAAAAAACTCTTAATATATTTTCATTAATAATAAACTCATTCTGATACAATTAATCCTCCATTAATACAACTCGGGAATCCATACTATGTAGACCCCTAGAAAAATCCAAAATAGAACAAGTGACAACAATAACTGTTTACATCAGAAAACTGAAACGTAAAAGAAACTCCTATGTAGAAAAATCTTGAAGAGTGAAGTAAACTGATCCATACTCAACACGAACAACCTCTACTCCTGACGAACACCTGAAAAATAATGGTGGGTCAGGCCCACAAACAAGTTCTACTCTACTACAGTCCAAGCAGAGACTCGATACACGTATACATCTTAGTCAATCCAACAATAACTAGTAGTCCGTATATATATATATATACACACACTAAAGGAACCTCACTAGACTATAGGGTTGCCTAAACCTGAATAGTAGGTATCATGCAAAACACACATATAGTGGGCATGAGTACCTAGACCTACCGGGGCACACAACTACACTATATCCAGCTACACATCCCTGGCGATATACGCGCCCTAACCACTGATCCTGAGACTCAAGTTCATATCATGGCACCATCATTATATATATATATATATATATATATATATATATATATATATATATATATAATCTAATATAATTAATCTTCTACAAATAATCCTCTACAAGTCATTCAACTTGTTCAGCTGACCTGACTTGAATATAAGTAGGACTTAACATTTTAGTTAATCCATTCCCTTATACAAAAATAGGTAGGACTTAACTTCTTTGGTTAATCCGTCCCTAAAATGCCATCGTCCCATACCGGTGGATTAAACCACACAATCCAACAATTGATGTAACAATTACGGAAATACATCAAACAATCCAAAAATAACTGTGATAATATGATATCAAGTTATCACAAAATAGGAATGACTTATTATTTATTTAAGCTTTCTATATCATATATTCTACACAAACCGAATCATATACATGATGATATTTTAATATACCGTCGAATAAGCATTCTCCATATCCAATTTATCCTACACATTTAATCTCAATTGCTAGAACAATTTAAAAGATTAAATCCATTCGTTTGTTTAAAACATTCAAATAGCAAACATCATTATGATCGAGTCTATTTAAATTTATTTAAACCCAAACCTAAGTCCCTATTTAATGTTCAAGACCCTTCAAAATCAAAAAAAAGTAACACTACGCTGTTTACGAAACTTCTCTAGGTAATGCTCGAGCTTTTGTCCTAAATGCTCGAGCACCCTATCCAAGGCTCAAGCATCCTACTTCAAACTCGAGCTTTTTATCCCAGTTGCTCGAGTTTTCCTTCTCAGGCTTGAGCTTTACATCTAATTACTCTAGATTTTCCTTACATGGCTCAAGCATGGTCCCTAAGGCTCAAGCACTGTATCGACGACTCAAACCCTGTTTACGCGATTTAACCGAGAATATTACTGTGAATTCATTCCTTATTTGTTTCAGGAATCCTAGGCACGTGTCTACGTTCCATCAATTTACAGATATGAAAATTACATAATTTAAACATGTAAAATTCATAAAAGAAATCCAATCATATCTACGAATTTAACCATTCATATTACAAGACCAACTATAAACCAATTTTATAAAACCTATGTTCCACTCCAATTAAACATGCATAATTATTTAATTTTATGTGTTTAATAAATCCTAGAATTTCCTAGGCATATATAGAAACACAAATCTATGGGAGAGAGATAGAAGAAGAACTTGCCTTAAATTTTCGGATCAAAAGTTAAACTTCTTCTTCCTTGATCTTCCTCTTTAAAGGGTTTTCTCCTCATTCCTTCCTTTTCCTCATTCTCTCTCTAACTTTCTCTCTCTCTCAAATAAAATAACGTACTATGTTTTTGAAGCCTCCTACAGACTTATACTTATGTATATATGGGCTAAAGAAAATTAACCCTAATCCTAATTCCAATCCAAGTCAACTTAATAAAGAAAATAAAAATTAAAATATAAAAAAATTAACGTAAAATATGTTACGTACATAATTTTTGTATATCTGTATCAAATAAATAAATTATATGCATCCCATTATTTATTAATAGATTATCTAATAATACTTAAGTTACCATAAAAGTAATTTATAAATTACTTTGCCTTTTATATATGTATATAATATATATCTATATATATACATATATAACTATCCATGGATAATTATCCATACCCATCCAACCTTCTATCCAAGTAGTCCATGGGACCCAATTTGTTGGCCCATTACTACTAACCATAACTATAAAATAAAATAAAATAAAATATTTAATTTACAATTAATCAAAACACCATTTAATTACATAATTTAATTAAACAAATAACACATAGACAAATACAAATAATATAAAGACACATAATCCAAATAATCAAGTAACACTTAATTCAATTACATATATAAGCAATTAGTCAAATAATCAATTAAATAATTAAAAATGAAAATAAAACAAATATATAAATACCGAGACTATCCTTTTTAAAATTAAGGGTATTATAAAAATTGCGACACCTCGGGATGGTGAGAAAGAGCTATCTCGAGCACATTTACATAGGCGCGTGGGAATGGCATACCTATCCATTCAACTTGCTCGTTTTTAAGGCCCGTCGAGGTCTGCCCATTCATTGGAGGCGAGGCCTGCCTCGTTTGATCAACAATTGGCTCTGTCTCAAAGCTCGCCGAGGTTTGCTCCTCAATTGGACGCGAGACCTGCCCCATCTGATCACCCATAGCATCCACCATATTGGCATCAGTCTGTGACTCAGGGAGGTCTTGCGAGGCTTGCAACCACGTTGACGGCGAGGAGTGCATCCTCTTCCCTAGTAATTTTTCATCATTTGCGAGGGAGATTTACTTCGTCCCCTGTATTTCTAAGGGTAAGGGTTGCCTTCCCCCATCAGATGTTTCATCCCTCCCAAAGGAGGGCTGCACTACTAAATCTTCCTTTCCAAGTTGCGAGGGCCCTCGTACTTCTATAGGAGAGGATAGGGCTGTCACTGTGTTTTCCACATCATCAGATATCTCTTAAGAGGGCATCCTTACATTTTCGCCCCTAGGCGACTCAATTGCATGCTTGCTCGAATAAGTTGTCACCTCGGGAGTTGGGGACTTAGACTGGTTCTCGTCCCTGGGTAGGGCATCACCGCGAGCAGTAATTTCTCCCTCTCTCGGAGGCTTTGTCCCCTCAGCAGTAGCACACTCTCACATCATTTCTACCACTGCAGCCACGTGGGTGCAAACAGGCATATCTCGTATGGCAATGCGAGGCGAGACATCCAGCGCCAAACTTTCAATTTTTTCTTCTCTTACTCTTATTTATGTGTCTTCCTGAGCACAACAAGATAGAGCAGTCTCACCTAAGGCTTGTATAAAGTCAAAAGTAGGTAAGTTAGGAAATTCACTGTTAGAAGCTAATACCTTGCTCGAGTTTATATCATGAATGGTGGTGTCAATTCCACCATCTTGCACACGTTGGAGCCTACTCACCCCACCTTGACTTGCCCCAAAGGCAGCGGTCATCAAGCCATGCTCCCCAGTGAGAGGCTGTTCCCCATGATCTTCAGAAAAAATGTCAATATCCACAGTCTCTGAGGGCTCGTCCACGAGTGGAATCTTACTAGAGGATGCCATGGGTCGAGATGTGTTTGGCGTTGGAGGCTTACACTCTCCTCCCTCGCAGTAGCAGTTTTTGGCTTTGCAGCGCTCACATCTGCTCGCTTTTTGGGGGCAATATTTGCATGAAAGGTGGCTCTCGTTTTGCGTCTACAAGCAGGCGCTGGAGCCACCTCGACCTTAGGAATAGAGGTCACCGAGGCGGGCCACGAGGACTCCCCTTGTTGCATCGTGGCCGGCGCAAGATTAGGTGCGAAACTACATCGCGCACCCCTGTTATAATCCATAGGGGGCCTTAATGAGTAGTCCCCCGCGTAAAACCAACATGACCCACAAGCGAATGTTAGTAGGTTTTTCTCAATGCATTGTTTCCACCCAAAAAATACTATTGGTTTGTCAAAACGGACTTGCCGAATTGTTCAGAATTATGTCCCACATCAAATGTCCACCTTTTCATATATAGCTGTTCCAAAATAATTATCCCAATTTAAAATTTATAATATTTCCAATTTAGTTGAATTTATAAAAATACGTAGGCCCACCGTAAATAAATTTAATAATTTATTCAATATTAATATAATAAAAAATTGTTAAACATATATTTATGTTTTTCCTTCTGATCATTATGGAAACAGACAAAGTTGAGACAAAAGGGACTAAAAAGTGATGCCTTACTGGGAGATATATCTAGTTTTTTTTCTTTTTCTTTTCTAAAGCAATGAAGATTGTACAATTCAACTAAACTGAGGCCAAATCTTCCCATCTTATCTCCATACATATATATATATATATATATATATATATATATATATAATAGTAAGATAAGATTATCTAATGTAACAAAATAGTTTTATGAAAACAAGTCACACATTATAGACACAAGAAGAAGTTCTATCATACAAAATACACCGACTTTTATTATAAGGAAAACCAGAGACAGCATACCACATTGTACGTAGTTCCTCTGGTATCTTATTACAAGGTAGAAATATTTCACAAGATACCATTCAAAAAAAAAAAAAAAAAAAATTTCACAAGATACAATACCAAACCAAACATATGGAGGTACGTAGCACACGCACAGAAACATGAAAATCACACTTCACACAGTAGGAAACAAGTTTGTGTTGTCTAGCTTCACTACTTGAATTGGCCTCTCTAGCTTTAGCAGAGACAACACAGAGCATCCATATATTATTTTCACATAATTAACTAGTAAATAGAATATATAATTAAAGTGGGTAGCTCAAATGTTGGATGCTCCAGCAAATGGCTGAACATGTACTCCGATGGCATCAACAAAGTCTCCGGACCTTCCGTGGAATCCGACGATCTTCCCAGTGGTTTGAGAAGAAGAAGAATCGAAAGACTGTCCTTGTCTGTTACCAAATGGTCCATATGTTTTTTTGTTGCTTTTAATTTCAAGGGACCGAACAACAAGAAGGTTATATATCATACTGTAATGCCCACTAATTGAAAGCAGATATTCATCAGGGTAGTCTACTGTGATCTGCAAGAGTAAGATAATTGATTGTTGGACATTCATACTACTTAAAAGAAAGAAAGAAATTAATGCATTAATGAGATACATATATATATATATATATATATATATATATATATATATATATATACAGTGGGAATAGTGTAACGACCCTAAACTGTTACCATTTTAAAAAAAATCGGCATGACCTCCCCTAAAAAAATGGGCCTACCACAACTTGTTTAAAATATATATATACAGTGGGAATAGTGTAACGACCCTAAACTGTTACCATTTTAAAAAAAATCGGCATGACCTCCCCTAAAAAAATGGGCCTACCACAACCTGTTTAAAAGAATTTTAAACCTGTCCCAACACAAATGTCATATAATACACTCCATGGTGGTACAACCACATACTATATCATCCAAATATTATATTTACAGTCCCAAAATATAATTACAATAACAAGAGTTCACAAATCTCTATACCAAATATAATAAATGAAGATTTTACCAAAAAATATGGGACGTAATACAAAAATAGCAAAAAGAAGTCTTCTAAACCAAATTAGGCCTGTGGTGGAAAGTCATCCGCCACTTCTTTCCCGTTTCCTGAAAAAAAATTAGAATATGATGGGGTAAGCTATAGGCTCAGTAGGTGACACTTAAGACACTTTTCTTGTGCCCTGTGAATCCATACAAAGAATAGGCCAATAGGAAATGGGGATCATACAATGTCGGGAAATAATACAACATTCTAACCAAACTCAAGTACAACCCACACGATGCCATGAAATGCAAATGTATGCCAATGTCACTCCCCATTTTTTGTTCTCAAACATCATTTTCAAACTGTTAATATAACCCGCTCTTTGGTGACCCCGCAGCGACACGAGAAGAGGATTAGCTAGTGTCCCTGACCCTTGGTGCCCCCGCGGCGTCATTATGGGCCCAGCTAGCTCAACCACGCTAGGGCGACTCCCTAGTCCCCTCTAGGCTATATTAACACTCCGGCCATTTGGTACCCCCGCGGCGACCGGGTTTTTCAAAACCGTTTCATCAAATCATTTTTTCCAAAATCCCATTTTTCATTTCAATCTCATTCTTCCCGTTTCATGCCCAATGTAAATGCATGAGTGCATCAATACCATGAATTTAATCATCATTTCACATTCAACTCTATTTAAGTAAGCAAGACATAATTTCGTAAGAATTTCTCAAGGGATTATAGCATGCTCTTGTACAACAATGCATTTAGCACAATGAACATATATAAATCATCACATAAGTAAGAATTTCCATATAAAACATTTAAAACAAATTCTCACATAACCACATGCACATGCTATAATTTCTTTAAACTACAACTAGCATAAGTAAATATGTCTAGCATCAAATTAGAAGATGTAATTCACATAGGAGTAAGAAATTTGTGGATTAAGAGCCCCTACGTCAAATATGCACAAAACCCTTAAAAGTAGGTCTTCAATTTCGAAATCCAAAGGGTGCACAAAAACTGAAATTGATGGTATGGATGTGTATAGCTCGTTGTGGGCTTCGTTTTGCCTTAAACGGCACTTAAAAATACTAAGAGATGAGGGAGCAATCAAGCCTTGAAGATTGAAAAAAAAAAAAAAAAAAAAAAAGAAAAACAAAAAAAACAAAAAAAAAAAAAAAAAGAGAGCTTCTGGAACAAGAGAGAAAATCTTACGGAAAAATGAAAGAAAATTCAGAACAAAAAGTGGTCTCATGACCATTTTAAGTGCATGTGGGTCCCACCCATTTTTCTTTCTATTTTCCTTTTTCTTTTTGTTTTAAATTACACCACACACACAAATATACACACACACATATATATATATAGACACAAACATTACAAATAGACTAACCGTGTGTTTGGTACCGCGTTGAAGGTTACCATGCTTCTCAGACCATTTGGACTTTCCATTGTCATCATATTCAATTTGGATGGACACAAATACTAAGCCATCTGAATATATTATTACCTGCTTCACTCCACTGTACTTACCATCATCCCATTCATCTCCGCCAGGCCCACCGAATGGCCCGACACTTACAAGGGATGGTGGGGACAAGAAATATGCACCAATCGCATCCAGATAATAACCAGACCTTCCATAGAGTCCAACAATTTTGCCAGTTAAGGGTGTTGAAAACATGAAATGTTTCCCACTTTCAGTGCCAAATGGTCCATATGCTGTTCGATTGCTGTGAAATGTGATTGATTGAATACCAAAAAATGCAGATTCCAAACTGTAGTAGCCCGAGATTGCAACAAGAAATTCATTCGGGTAGTCAAATTTAACCTACAAAATTCCCATGCATTGAAAAAAATTAAGAAAGATACCAATTTTTTGTTTGAGAAATGTGAATGCATATCATCAATTGGAAGATACCGTGCGTTTGGTTCCGCCAGTGCTTTGTCCATGCTTGTTAGACAATATGGACCGTCCATTCTTATCATACTCAATTTGTATGGAATCAACCACTACTCCGGCATATATAATAATCTGTCTCACTGTTGTGTAAATGCCATCGTCCCATTGAGTTCCACCGTAGCCTCCAACAGGTCCAAGAATCATGGGTTGGTGTGTATCTGGGAATGGCTCAAAGTATGCTCCGATCGAATCGAGATAGAGACCAGACCTTCCATGAAATCCAACTATCTTTCCTTTGGTTGATGGTGGGGTTGCAAATTGCTTTCCCTTCTCCACACCATATGGCCCATACTTCTTTTTGTTGCTTTGAATTGTAAGTGACCGAATCACTGCCTTATTTGAATCCTCAGTAAGGTATCCTGAGATTGAGATGAGGTACTCATTTGGGTAATCAAGTTGGACCTGCATATTTAAGTTTATTAATTAAACATTACCAATGAGTAGTAATTAAATCACATTAATCAAATCAACCTTTGATATTCATTCAATTCAAATTTGTATTTTATTTTGAAAATAATAAAGACTACAAAAGTATAACAAAGTGGACAATTTTTTTTTTTAATATGTGAGTAGGTATGATGTTATCAGGACATCGACTATCATGATGTCATTATAATTTCATCCTTTATTCTCATAAATATAGTTGGATGCGTCCGACTCTTAGATGTATGTATAACAAAATCCTTTCATTGTTGCATGGAAGTAATTTGAATACCTAAAAAAAAAACTTCTGAAAGGAATAGAGAGAGATACTGCAATGAATCAAACAGGGGGTGTAGTAATTGTCTAACCTTTATTTTTGTGCCACTTTCACTTTTACCATGCTTCACGGACCTTTTTGACTTCCCATTATCATCATATTCAATTTGAACTGAGTCAATTACTGAACCATAACTAATTATCAATTGCCTCACTGTACTATACTTCCCATCATCCCATTGATCTCCACGCTGGCCACCAAATGGCCCAACAGATATGGATTGACTTGGATCCGAAATTGGCTCCAAATGTGCACCAAAACAATCAAGATAGATACCAGACCTTCCATGGAATCCTACAATCTTGGCACTTGTTAAAGGAAACTTGAAATATTTTCCCTTCTCTGTGCCAAATGGTCCATACGTTTTTTTGTTGGTTTCAATTGTGAGAGATTGAACACATTCAAGCGCAGAATCCGAACTACAATAGCCCCAGATTGAAAGGAGGTATTCACTTGGATTGTTAAATTTGACCTATGAAAGAACATGTCAAGTTAAAATAGCAAAGATGCATATAGATTTTGTGGGACAAGAAAATGCTGGAACAAATGTCAACAACTAAAATTCATAACATTTTTTTTAAAATTTTTTTTATTTCTATTTCAAAATTAAGCACTTGTACAATTACTATTAATGAAAAAGCTTAGAGATTTCGTCAAATCTATTTATTTTCGAATATAGGTGAGAAAAAAATGAAGTGATAGATATTAACCATGTTTCTTGAAAGCTTTTTTAATATGCAATGAAAAAATAATTTGAAGCTTAAATTATGATGGATTAAACATGTTTCTTGAAAGCTTTTTAAATATGCAATAAAAGAATAATTTAAAACTGAATTTTAAGTTTTCTTTCAGAATCCATCCACATTATATATACAAATTTATTTTTTGAAAATTTTCTGTCCCAATTAAGAATTAATTATCTTAAGTTTACTATTACAACTGAAAAAACTATATCCAATTAGAGAAAGGGGATTAGATGATTAACTTATTTTTATAATAATTACTGAAAAAAAAAAAAAAAAGATTCACCTGTATAACAGTTATTTTTGTGCCACTTCACCAAAACGTGGCTGGCAAAAAATAAAATGTTTTATTTTGTAAAATTAATGGTATGCATATTTTATACTCAAATTGTAAAAATTCCAAGGGACTAACCGTGTTTTTCACTCCACCTTCACCACCATGCTTTTGGGACTATTTTGACTGTCCATTCAGATCATACTCAATTTGAATGGAGTCAATAACTTGTCCAGAGTATATTATTAATTGCTTAATGCCGGTGTAAATTCGGTCATCCCATGGCTTTCCTCCTTGGCCTCCGAAAATTTAAGTGTGTATGTTACTTGACATGATTAGATTTCACACGCTTCTACAAAATGAGAAAAATAAAGTTCAAGGTAACAATATGTTTGGATTTGCAACAATGTATTTGGATTTGGCTGGGCTAAATGTATTACTATGGATTAGGTTAGGCTAAATGTATTGCTATGAATTGGGTTGGGCTGAATGGTTAATAGGAAAATGAAGCGAGTATATAAGCTTAGTAGTACAATATATATATATATATATATATATATATATATATATATATATATATAATTAGACCTGAGTTATAGCCCAGGTTAGCCCACTCATGACTCCGCCCCTGCATTAATGTAACATCCTAATACTTTTTAACCCTTTCTTAGATGTTAGCATGTGCACTAGTCTACCGTGCCCATGCTAGTGGCTTATTTTGGGTGTGTAGGGATTCTTTTTCGTAACATAATAAAATACATATAAATAGTGATACTATACACAAATCTGAGTGATTCAGACAACATAATAGAATCCGAGGTATCTTGAGAGAGGTGGAAACGCAGACAAACTCAAGAGAGAGGGTGAACATGACAATGTCATAGTACACCATTAACTCCCTTGATGGAGGTGTATGGAGAAAGCATGAGAGGTTCTTTCCTCCTCCCTTTTTTTGCTCTACCTTCCACTTAGCCTTGGATCACCTCCTTATATAAGCCAAGCTAGAGGTTGGGTGATGTCACATGACATCACCTATGGGCCCATTAGCATTATAAAATAATGTTAATTAAAATGGGTAAAAAAATGTAAGGGAGTCAAAATGGTATATCTCTCTCTACGAATCAGGTTGAGGATTGACTTGACGAGTCTTAAACTTCATCCACCAAATCAAGAACCTCATATGATCCTAAGTAATCTTGACTCCTGCTGCCAACTCAGGTTTTCAAGTCTTCGATCTTCTGTTTAAGGTATACTGATGACGTGGTAAATGTCACATAACCTTAATCGTTGATCGTTTAACCAAGTTATGTGGGCCTTTATTGATGATGTAACGTCGCTACGTGAACTATGATATATTTAACAACTACAGGGTGTAAGGTAATAAATCAATAGTGCAATATATTAGATTATAATGGAGTACATTATATCACTCATACAACAATACTGACGTAATCTTCTAATGCAACACATTTATATATAAAGATATAATTTTCGTACAATATAATGCATCGTATTATAAAACTATTAAATTGTAAATTTAACACATTTTAGTAAATATTGTATTGGCGATATAAACTTGATGCATTAAGTATTGATCTAGAGTTGTTGCATTGTGGAAACCACTTCAACAACTACTTACCTTTAGGCCTAAACTAATTTTCTAGCTAGCACAAAATTAGGTAGCTGATGTAATAGCAAAAAGACATTTAAAAGATAAAAAAATAGAAGTGTGTGGGGGTATATAAAACCTTATATATGGAATGAACAAGAATGCCTTCCCTCTCAATTCCAAAAGAATGAAGTCTTTGGGTGGAACCAAGGACGAGATAGCATGGCGATATATGGCCATTCGGAGGACGGTAATGTAATTTAATTTTCTTTTTTCATTGATTCTTTGGTCGGTGGATGGGTCCTACAAATTAGTGGAATCCATTCCTTATCCTTTTGGTGAAAATATGGTCCTTGATTTTTATCCTTTGATTTTGGTGACCCATTCTTTCTTGGGTTGTCCATTTATTTGGGCCTGATAAGTTTTCCTTCTTCTTCTTCTTTATTTTTATTTTTATTTTTATTTTTATTTTGCGCCCCTACTGGTGGCTTGTAGCTTTGTTCCTTCTTCAAACACGTGATGGACAATATTCAGTATAATCTGAAATTATTAAATAACTATTATACTTATTATATATTTATTATTTTTTAATATAAAATATCTATTTATTATTGACAAAATATCGTTTTCAAGCTTTTTAAAAATATTCTCAGATTTTAAGTAAATTAATGAACATAACATCAGTAATAAATGTGTCAAATTTTATGACTTACTCATACTTATATTAAAAGAGATTTATTTTTCACGTTTAGAAAATATTAGTTAATTTCCATTTTCGGGCGGCATTTTGGGCGGCATTTTTTTTTTTTTTTGATGACAGCAAAAAAGAATCCATGTGAAAGTTGACATAAAGCCAAGTTTTATGGATGGTCCCTGATTTGTTTCCATCAATAATCAAAAGGAGCAGAAGCATTTTTTGATACCCTAAAAAGGACAGGAGACCATCCCAATCCATGTATGTGCGAACAAATTACGAAAAAGTTCAAACTAGCTCACGACAGCAAAAATCCAAATTTCTTTATGGATAAAAGCAACACCACCTGAAAAGCATTTTATTCCCCTATAGCGGTGGCAAAAATCCCCAATTCGGTGGGGAATCACCCTGTTCTCGTCCCATTTAAACGAGTTTGGAGAACCGTTTGCTTAAATAAGGTGGGAATGAGAATTAAAAAAAAAAAAAAAACCGGTCGGTTGCGGGGCGGGGGCGGGGGACTAAGATCCGTGCCCCATACCCGCCCCATAACCGTCCCGTTTAACATTTTAAATTATTAATTTATTCTACCATATTAATATATTTACCAAATTAACCTTCTCTTTCTCTCTCTTTATATATATTGGAAACCCTACACTTAACACTTCCATATATATATATATATATATATATATATGTGTGTGTGTGTGTGTGTGTGTGTGTGTGTGTGTGTGTGTGTCTGTACTATGATTGTGTTTAAATAAAAATATAATCGGTTATGGGGCGGGTGATGGGGCGGGGGCGGGGGCGGTTATGGGGATTAGAGGTAAAAAATTAACCGATTATGGGGCGATTTTGGGGGCACCAAAATTAAACGGGGGCGGGGATGGGGAATGGGAAATCCGCCCCAAACTGCCCTATTGCCATCCCTGCCCTTATAACAAAATAAGAAAAGACAATGACAGACAGTGAAGTTTCTAGATTCAAATTAAATAATATTAGTCTTATTGCATAAATTCAATATTCTTCATCAACAAAGACTTTTTTTTTGTCCCTAAAATAAATATATTTATTTAATAAAATGATTAATATTAATATTTTTTTATTATATTAATAGTGAATGAATAACTAAATCTATTTATAATGGTCCATGTGAATGTGATGATTTACTTCTTTTCTTATTATTATTTTATTATTTTTTATTTTTATAACTTCAATGCAAGAATGTAAAAATTTTATATTAGTTTTGGGATGACATAAGTTATATTAGTTTTGCTTTTGATTTTTTTATTTTATTATTGCATCCCTTGAAATTATTAAAAAAAAAAAAAATCACTATTGCCCCCACCGGGGGCAATTAAAAATTTCTATAAATTTTGGGTGCCAAAAGTAGAGACATTTATATAAAATAACGTTTTTGTAGGGAACTAGGGATATTTCTGAACTTAGTTAGAGTTCAATTCACACTACTAGTTATCAGTTAGAACTTAATTTTTTTTTTTTTTTAAGAACCTTTTAAAATTCAAGAAACTTAATAGGATCCAAATTGAAACCCTCGACTCTAATAGTTAAATTGTGGATAAAATGTACATGAATAACAAATAGAGTGTAGTTACGGTATCGGTTGCGGTGTAAGTTGGTAAAGGATCCGAGCTAAGTCACATAATTTTTTTATATGGGCGAAGTTCCCACGCTCCGCACATTCCCACTACTTGTACATTCTTGCTGCCGATTCCATTACGTGTGACTTAAATTGTGTTACTTTCGTAGTGGGACTTAAATTTTGCTGCTTTCGTACTCCTGCATCTACTCTATGCTATGAGATATATATTTTGTAATTGGCTAATTAATTATCAAAGCAAATCTGATCGAGTTGTAATTTTTCGGTTAAAAAATTCAAAGATTGAAGATCAGATGCGGATTTGAAGAAGTTCAAGTGTTCATGATATACTACACTCCGAAATGATGAGAACAATACTTTAGGAAGATTGAGAGGTAGTGAGAACACATTGGGAGAGTTTTGAAAGTTTTTGAGAAAGATTTTACATTCTGTTCATTTTGAACTGGTTCCCAAAAATACTGAATTGGTTCAAGACCAGAATTGGAAAAATTCAAGATTTTCCATCTTGAACCGGTTCCCAAATTCCTGAAC